TCGGCCATCCGGCCGTCCGTCCATCAGTTTTTTTCTTGTCCGCCCAATAACTTAAGATTCCTTTTGACCCTAAGTCTTCATATTTGGCATGGAGGTTAGTCATGATAAGTAGATGACCCTATTGATTTTGAGGTCACTAGGTCAAAGGTCAAGGTCACAGGGGCCTTGACTTCAAAAAGCTTGTCCGCCCAATAACTTAAGATTCCTTTGACCTACAGTCGTCATATTTGGCATGGAGGTTAGTCATGATTAGTAGATGACCCTTATTGATTTTGAGGTCATCAGGTCAAAGGTCAAGGTCACAGGGACTTTGACTTCAAAAACTTTGTCAAAAGCTTTTCTTCTCAATTGCTAAAGAATGTCCTGTCCGCAATGTATTGATTTTGACATTTTCACATTTGAAGCATGTAGAATACATAACTTAGCAATGCACTGGCTTAGTAACCTCAGATTTGGCAGGGAGGTTGTCCTTGAGCTCTAAATGGCCACTGTTGATTCTGACAAAGTGGTATGCGGGGGTATAAATGTTGCAAGTTCTCTAGGGTAACTTAAAACAACAGGAAGAAATTCTAGACATATAAATCACTGCTATTTTAACTGCTGTGTTGCATAGAAAACAAATATCTCTCTGATTTGATGAAGTAACATAGCTACCCTGGTGGTTAAATTTGACCGTTCTGGAAAAAAATGATAAGGGCCAGATAAGAAACCAGTAGTTGATAATTTGCTATGTTTTTCCTTGTCTCCTTCTTACAGCTAGGCAGTATGGCTTTATATAAATCTTTGTATAGAAATTTTCGTCAAATATCTATTGGTAATTTCTATCTTTTATACTCAACAGATCAAATGCAAATGATCAGGGAAATGTATGTGCTTTAGTTGAAGAATGGAAGGCCGAAATGGACAGTAATGACAGTATCTTTTTTCGACCGATGTTAGTTGATAAGTATTTTAAAGGTTTAAGCAATCTTAAATAAACTCTCAATTATTTTAGTTGAGAATCATAATTACATATTCAATAACATTTTATTTTACCCCTGCCACTTAATGTGGAGGTAGGTGGCTATAGTTTTATGTTACATAGTTTTATGGACTGTTCTTTTCTAATAAAAAAGCTTTATCATACCAATATGTATGTTTTGAAATTTGAAATGCTTGCTTTAAACATTCATAATTTGATACAAAAACATAGCATACATATTTATAAAAAATCATTAATATTGTGTTTTAAGTTTTATTCAATGTAGCTGTAGTCTTCATTATCTTTATACACAGGATGTTCATGGTTGTCTTATTTAATTCTTTAAACAACAGGACTATGCTTATCATGGATATGTCATAATACTTTAAAGATGAAGTAAGTCATTAGATTGCATTGAGCCAAATGGAACTTTTGCCATTTTTTTTCGCCACCACAGCATCTGAGATGCAGTGGCATATAGCGATTCTCCTGTGTGTTTGTGTTGTGTTCTATAGATTATATAGTAAACTTAAAAAATCTTCTTGTGAAAAACCACTTGTCCAATTTCAACCCTACCTCAGCTGACCTAGATTTTGACAAAATGTCTTACTGTGTTGTCCTTTGACGTAGTCATGAAATTTAAGCTGTGTGAAATATGACCTTCACCACCAAATACACTAGACTCTACTGCATTGATAAGTTCCTACTGTGATCTTTTATTTGAATAACAATAGATTTAACCACTTATCTTATAATAAGAATTAGATAGGTGCATTAGGACAATCTTCAATTGTATGGCAACAAAAAAATCTGTTCCTACACTACTATTTAGTGTTGTATTAATGCGGTGGCATAGCATTTTTCACAAATTCAATCTTGTTTACTATAGTATTAGATTGATATGAATTTTGTAGTGGTCTGCTTGATATTCATGTAGGATATATGCCAAATATTTTAGCTGTCAATTGGTCAGAAGCTATTAATCCACATTTTTATGACAAAATAAAGGAATATGTTGATAACGTGTCCTTTCCCTTTTATTTTTAGGTCTACTGATAATACGATGTTGTTTGTTTATCAATCGACTTTTCAAAAACATCTCATACAGAGATATGGAAATGGGATGTGTCTCCTTGATTCAACTTACAAAACAACGAAATATACTGTACCCCTGTTTTTTGTTTGCATTCCAACAAATATTGGATTTCAAGTAGTGGCTTCATTTGTGGTTGGGAAGGAAACAACATCTTTGATATGTGAAGCATTGAAGATGATTTCAGAATGGAATCCTCATTGGAAACCAGAAAACTTTATCACAGACTTTGACCAAAGAGAAATATCTGCGTTGGAAAAGGTGTTTCCAGGTATAAAAGAATTTATGGCAATATATAGAATTTGCTCAATTACTTTAGGTATGACCATCTTTATGCATTACCTCCACTTTGAAGAGCATTCTAACTGGCTAAAACTACTGTTAAATACATTGAAACTAAGTTTCCATTCATTATCTCCTCTAGGGTATTATACATTCAACTCAAATTTGAGATCTGGATATGTCAAAGAAATACGCAGGTCAAATTTTGTTATGGTTCTATGATTTTTGGCAGAGTTATGCCCCTTTAACTTTGAAAAAAATGTCAGTTCCCATTCATTATCTCCCCATCATTGTTCATATTCAACTCAAATTAAAGATATGGATATATCATAAGAATGGACTGGTCAATTTCTAATTTGGTCATGGTTGGATGATAGCTGAAAGAGTTATCCCTCTTGAACTTTGAAAAAAAAATTAGAAATTTTAAGTTTCCGTTCATTATCTCCCCAATGGTTGTACACATTCAACAATGGAAAAAATTTGAATTTTCAGTTTCAGCACTCATACTTTTGTGGAAATGTATGTAGTCATTATTTTGGCTACAAATATGCAATATGCAATTTACAAAAAGTTAACACTGAATAGTTTCAGTGCCTTGAACTTGGTATAAAATGGTTTGTGTTAACATTGAAAAGTTGTAAGGGCTTTGAACTTAAAATGAAAAAAATAATTTGTGCAAACAAATTTGAAATTAAATATTATAACATCTGAAATTTTGGCTGCATGCTGGAGCATCTGTGGAGTGACGACACATTACTAGTTTAACATATCTTATTATTTCTTTAAAGATTTACTTCATACTTTAAATATTTGTTCATTTTCATAACAAAAGGGTTAAGTTTTCTTGAAAAATGTTACTAGTAGTTTTCAAATTATCATCTTTGTTACTAAAGGGGTTAACCTCAGACTTGATATTGTTGTCATTCCATTTGACCAGAATAATTTCTGTTTTATTTTTATGCAGGCAGTTGTTGTGCAAAAATTTTCACATTTAAAATATTTTTTAATATTGTTTAAGAAATAAATTTCTGATAATTATTCTTTACACATGTTTTTTTTTTACTAAGTACAGTATTATGCTAGTCAAGTGTGTTATTATGACTGGCAGCTCTTGTTTGCTGATTGACATTTATATGTTGTTTCATTGATAAATTAATTTTTTGGCAACAACTTAAAAGTCTGATATATCGACAATCAAAATTTAATAAATTAAACATAATTTTCATTCATTAGTCAATATAGTTAGTCAATTAGTGTTTGACAGGTCAGAGATTTTATCTTATTAATCCCTATTGCTTACCACAACTAATAAGCTAAACAAACTAAAAAATGCTTTCTTTCTAAATAGGCATTGATGTAAAACTTTGTGAATTCCACACTGAACAGTCCTGGCAAAGGTGGCTTGGATCAAAGAAAAATGGTGTAAGTCAGTGGAAAGAAGAACTCTTGAAACTGTAAGTATCAGTTATTGTCTAGTAATAGGCTCCGTCCATCTGTCCATCCGTCTGTCACACTTTCGTGTCCAGTCCATAACTTTGTCATATATCAAAGAAATCTGAAATAATATGGCACAAATGTTTGTTAGAAGACGATGTGTCATGGGTAACAACCAGACCCCTACCTGCAGGGTCAAGGTCGCACTTGCTCATTCAAGGTCAACATTGTCTATTTGATGGTATATGTCGTGTCCGTTCCATAACTTTCTTATCTTTGAAGGGATTTTGTAAACACTTGCCACAATTGTTCACAATAATGAGACGATGTGTCATGCGCAACAACGGGTCAATCTTTTGAAATAGTACAATTTTATGCTTCATTTAAAACTTTCCCGATGTGGGGACCTTGGTAACTCTGTTACAAATTCTTGTTACAAATTTCATATACTGTATTAATTTGCCTGTACTCACTGGCAGTGTCTAATGTTTCAGAATGGTAGAGATGATAAGAACATAATTTTTGTCATGCCCCTTTTTGTCTGTACTTTGTGTATTATTCACAAAAGAATTGTTCAAAATATGTTAACATATATTCATAACTTGCTATGGTATTGTTCATTCAAATTAAATACATCTTTTATGACCCAAAATCTTAATGTTAGGATAGCCAAGCTGTTTTAATTGTGTTCTTTATTTTTTTTAGAATCAGATGCGTAGCCAGAAGTAAGAGTGAAGAGGCTTTTCATGAAAATGTAAATACAATTAAGTCGTCTGAAGCTTACAAAGCATCTCAGTCTTTCAGAAATTGGATTGAAAAGCAATGGCTCCAAGAATCAAAGGTGAGATACATTTTTAATATTTGCCATTATTATACATGCAGTCTTCCGCTTTTATTATGCCCCCACAATGTGGGAGCATATAGCGTTGCACTTGTCCGTCCGTCAGTCAGTCAATACGTCAGTCTGTCCGTCCGTACGTCCCCAAATTATGTGAACGCAACTCCTCTAAAACCGGATGCTTAAACTTACAGGGATGAACAACCTTAAGGTTGTGATGGTAGTAAAGGAAGGAATTTTTGCTGCGACCAAATTTAACAGAATTATGGCCCTTTGTTGATTTTTAGTTTTCAACTTGTGGTACATGTAGTCCAAAAAATATTTGACCTAGAGTCATAAGATTGACAGAACAGTGGCGTGTGGGGGCATCCGTGTCCTTTGGACACATTTCTAGTTAACTCATAAACTACTTGTGTAACTATGTAGATATGACAAATGTATTATTTAATCTTACTCTTGACAAGGTAAAGCACTAATTGCTTCACAGATGGCCAGACTAAGAAGATTACAACGTAATTTTATTTAAAGTATTATTTAATGTTTGCATTGATAACATTTTATAATTAATCATTCATCTTTTTACAGCGTTGGGTTCACTGTTATCAAAGAAGTGGTACAAATAGACCAGTATACTCTACCAATGGTGTTGAAAGACAGCACCGGCTGTTAAAGGAGAATTATCTAAAAAAACATGGATTTGGAGGAACGCTTACCTCACTCTTAACCATTTTGATAAGAAAGTTCTTTCCAGATATGCAAAATAGGTTTGTAAGAAATACTTGTATGTATAATTCTTAGCTAAAATGTGAAAATTTAAGATACTGTTTCCATTGTTACCATACTATTTTAAGTGAGATAACAAAATAAAGATATAGTAAGTAATAAAGGAGACAATAATATTTAATATGAATTAAGCCTTTTAGCAGCTTATGAACTCTATTAATTTCTAATAAAGTTTTTATCCAAGACAGCTCAACTGGACATATATGGGTTCAATAAATTTTTTTGGGGGGCACATAATCTTGCAAAGTTTAAATAGAAACACTTCATTTGACTTGCTCTGTCCAGTTGAGCTGCCTTGGATTAAAACTTTAGTAGAAATAATTATTTCCTGTTTGTATCTCCAAATTCAATTCCTGTTAGCAGTGCCTTTGCAAATTATAGTTGTAATATAATAAGTTGCTCATGATGAGCTATTGTGATGTCCAGCTGTCGTGCATCGTCAACTCTACCTATAACAATGAAACTCTATCTTGATACACCTTGATGATTTCTATCTACCTTTACAGTTTAAAAATTCAATGTCACTAGGACCTGATATATCCAAAAAATTCAATTGCCATAAAGATATAGTGCATTTACATAGGGACTGCATACTTCTCATGTGGAAGCATCTTGAGATATCAACTCTGCTTTGGTACCAATGCCTCCTTGTTTTGGTAGCTATTGGTTATATATGTAATTAATTAAAATTTTAATTCAGATATGTACAGAGCAACATTTCCGCATTGGAAGCTAGTAGAAAATACTCAGAGTATGTGCCAGAGTTTTTGAAAGGGCGACCTAGAAACTTTGTTGCCCACTGCTTGGACAGGATGCCGCCAAAAGTGGAAGACATTGAAAAGAGCACCTTGGTTTTTACAGATGGAGAATCATGCAGGGTATCAAGTCAATCAGGCAAAGTGTACATTGTAACATTTACATCTAGGGTACCCAAGTGCTCTTGCCCAGACTTTGAGAAGCATCTTTGGCCATGCAAACATATTCTTGCTATTTTCAAACATTTTCCAGCATATAGTTGGGAGACACTTGATATTGCATATACCAGCCTGCCATATTTCAATATAGATAATGAAATAATAAACAACCTAGAAAAGGACAAGGAAGCATCAGTTGACTCTGAATTTGTAAATACACCATTGCCAATACAAATTGATAAGTCTAGTAAAGGTGGAAATAATGTCAATGATGAAAGAAAACAGTGCGTTGAACTGTTGAAGAACATTCAAAACAGCATATATGCTGTTAGCAGTAGAGATGTTATGCATCATGTTAAAGTTAAATTACAGGAATTAGATAGATTCATGGATGACAACTGTGTCAAAATTAGTGGACTTCCTACACGTCTAAAACATATCAAAAAGAAGAAAAAAGCCACTTCAAAGAAAGTAAGAACTAATGAAACTGACTGTAAAATAATACCACTTGATAGTAACCTCATTATAGATGGGCCACAGGTAGCAGAAGAACATGATGAAGATCACTTTCTACTTCAGAGTGAACATTTTCCATATCTCGAAGGTAACATGCACTGTACCGTCTATGTTATCAATGAACATTGATTTCAGTATTTTAATTATCATCTTTATCTTTCACATAAAAAGATAATCTCAAAAAATATTGTTTGTTTAGATTATCTAGTTTTTAAATGTTAACATTGAGAGATGGCATTAAAAATTGGCAGAGAATCATATACAAGCACTTATACAAGCAATACTATATAATTACACTGCAAGTAGCTTAATGGTAATTTGACTATTTTTTCCAAAAAGAAACTTCTGTCCAATATACTGAAATTAAAGTTGATCTAATTGGAGTTTCTCTTGGTAAACATCAACACAAACATGATTTTATGTTCTATTATTCAGACGTATTTTAATGTAGCTTGTAAATAATAACATCATTTAAATTATATTTACAGCTGTGGAGAAGATATGTATGTCATCATCTGAATACCAAGTCGGGAAGATAGGTCCATACATTCTTACTTGTCAGTCAATTCGAAATTTACAAACAACATTATCTGATGAGGTTAGAATAATGTTCTTTTCTAATGATAAATAGAGATTTACATGTAAAAACTTAAATTTTTGTGAACCGAGACTAGTTATTTTTTTAGTGAAGTAATAATAATACTTTTGATGCTTTTTGAAAGGAATCTTGGTATTTCTTAATTGTTTTTTTAATTACTATAACCCCGAAGTTCAAGGGGGGGGAGTATGTGGTTGGTTGGTCCATGTATATATAGATATATCAGATTGTCATCTTATAGTATTTATATTTAAAAGAAACAGAAACATTTAGTGATAGCTGTAGTTATTTTTATTTTATTATTAAGCAATTACAAAATGTTGAGCTGGCTATCAAACAGACTGATCATGTTACTCTTATTTAGTTTGTTAACACAACAGCAATAACAACATTTGGTAAATTATAAAACCTTTTTCGTTATCAGGTTATTGATTCCTACTTACATTTACTGATCCAACAATGCAGTGACAACAACTTGCATATTAGTTGTGTGGTAATGACATCCATTTTCACAGGACAAGAGGAGGTGCACTCTTTACTGAAGAGGGTAATTTCAATTTTAGGATACATCAAACATATAGAGGATATTTGTTTGTTTTGCATGTAAGATCGAAATATAATTTCACTGAGTGAACACCAGATGCAATATTTTCACGAGTGGCGTAGCCACGAGTGAAAATATAATAGCTGGTGTTCATGAATGAAATATATTTCAATCTTATATGTAAAACAAATAAATTTTCTTTTTATTTCATGCTTTTTAAGTGATTTTAAGTATTTTTTACTGATTTTGCCGAGTAACGTCGCGCATTCTCCTTTGTGACGTCATCACATCATGACGTCACATCATCAATTTTGAAATATAGTTCTGTTAGATTTCTCTTATTTTGTTACATTTTAACCATGATTTATGGTGACATCGACTTTCTTTTCCTAAAGAAGCAAAATTTACGTATGACTGCATTTATTTCTGCCTGTTATTCCATTTAGTTATGATTTTCTTTTCATCCGCATTCAGATATAGTCCGGCTACAGTGAAATTTATATTTTATAAATTTCACTAGTGGTTTATCAGAATATAATCATCTGATATATTACAATAAAACACTGGAAAGCATGAAATAAAGTCACTTATTAAGCTTATAGTTGCTGCCTTTACTTTGAAGGAAATAAATCCACGATTAACTGCCAATGATTTTCTGCCAATGAATACTTCTGTTCCTTTGATTGCTAATAATATTACACACATTGTGGCACAATATGAATGTGATGTCAGATGATGGTAAAAATTTCTTGTCTTTTCTTTGAAATTACAGATGCATACTAAATTGAGCTATTAGTTTGAAAGAAAGGCCTTTATTTAAATTAACATTTGTCTTTACATGCATTGAAAACAGGAGATAGTATTTATTTGGACTATAAATGTTCACTGACTCACATAAACCATCATAAATCATTGATCCATGAAAAATATTATTGAATAATATTATTATTAAATGTAAAATCTTCTTTTTTCTATCAGTATCATTTGCATTATTTTATGAAAATGTACCTCTCATGCCATGTTTAACTTTTAAAGGAGAAGATTTTGGAATATGATCACATAATTGGAGCTGTAAATGAAGGAAGCAATCATTGGACATTAATAGTAAGTCCTATGCAATATTCAGAAACTCTCTTATAAATATAAATAGAACATATCACATAATGCTGACTGAAAAAGAAAATGATGCTTACTTGAACCAAACAGCCTTTGTTTTCTTTATGATTTTTTTGGGATTTAAGATTTTTTACAACATTAACAATTTTAGGGGTGTATATGTACAAATGTCCACAAATATAAACTATATGCACTATAGATATGAGGGCGAGTGAAAATTAAATGTAGCAAAATAGTGATGTAAGCAGAAGTTACTACAAAAAATGCCCACATTAACAGATTTGTATGTAATGAAAGTAAATAAATTTATGTCATAACTCTTTAGTGTGCATATAGATTCAAGATGTCATCCTGATCAGGTCAATATTGACACACATATGAGGTCATATACGTACCTCTGCACAATTGCAATATTGTTTAAAAATTATCATAAACTTAAGATGTCGCTTTTATTTTACCTTATATTTATTAATTATATGAGGAGTATTATACATGTTCTAATACTGTTAAGGATGCTAATTAAAAACCTCTTCATTTGAACCATAATATTGAAAGTCACATCCAAACATTATTGGAAAAAACTTTATTGTTCAAAGCTATTTTCAATGAATGTTTTTAGAAAATGAACTAAGGAGATTTGTGAGAGTAAAATTCGGAAAGCTTTATAGGTTTTACTGATGTTCTCTAAAAATCATTAATTTTGATTATTAACAAAACATTTGCTGAA